AGAACATAAAACATTAGTTACATTTTAATCCTCTGTTTACAGAGGAACAAAAACTACTGTACGTCAAAGTAAGATAAAAATATATTTTACTACTAAACTTTGCCAACTTGCAATCTATCTTGAGACACAACAATTAAATTTGATACAGATAGTCCTCAGTTAACAGTAATAATTGAAATTGTGTCATGTGGTCTTACACTGTGATGTCATGTGATTACATGACTAATGACAGCAGTTCCAGAAGCCATCATTAGGTGAATTTTGCAAAGTCATTAGACACAATAACATGTGGTTTGCAATGTCAAACCACTAATGATCATTTAACTGATTGAGTATTTGAGTATTTTGAATGTTCTCCCTTCCCAAAAAAATAAAATAAAACCCTGCATATTCAATGTAAGCATAGCAGAAGAAAAGTCATATCACTGCTCCAGATATAGATTTTCCATTACAAAAGTCAGATGGTCTAGTACTGATTGCAAAAAACAACTGCTTAGACTTAAAGATCTATGTCTATATCTTCGTGTTCTGCAGGAGATTATAGCCTTAGTATCACGTCAGCTATGCTATTTTCCAACTCAGTTCTAAATTTAGGACAACCTTCACAGATTCTGACATGGTATTTCATTTTGAACAAAATTAAAGGTAAAAAGTCCTTTGCACTGACTTTGGTGACTATTCAGTCATATTATTTTCTTGTACAAAAAAGAAAATTGTTTGCAACTGCCTTCTTCACAAAAAAAAATTTCCTTCACAGACTAGCCTACAGCTTTGAGATCTCCTGGCAATCTCCCATCCAAATATTAATTTTAGTAAACTTTTCAAGATCAGTTAATATTGGCTGAGACATTTTAAAATAAAATAAAATAACGAAGTCTATTAAGCATGCCCAAGTCTTTGGGTATAACTGAAGTTTTTTGAATCCCAGATCAATATACTTATTTTCACTGTGCAATGTTTTTTTACACCATGACTGCATCTTAAATTATATTTCTTTAGTCAAACTCCAAACAACATAATTAAAATTAAAAGAGTTTCAGAAGCTTTGGGTTTAAGAAAATTAAGATAGAAAGCAAACTGTGACTTCTATGTTCATTCCCTTTGATGAAAAATACCTTAAATATATCTTTTGAGCACTGTGTGAGGATTGTGTTGTATGTAGAAGATAGTCCTAGTTCCACTAAGCTCTCTAAATGAGTCATCTTTTCTGTTTCCGTCTCCTCTCTTGTTTGTTCCAATGTGCTGCTTTCTATGAGTCCAAAACATCTATACAGAAAAACAACGGGCAAGTAACATAATTAGTAAAACATGAAACCACTACAAGTTTTTTATTGTTTGTTTGGGCTGAAGTACAATATTATTTTAACAGTATGCTACAAAATTTGCATATGTTCATTTCTGGCAACAAACTCCAGAAGATGAAATCAATTCATTTTTAAGATTTTCTTTACCCACTCGTAAGCATAGGGATTTGCAGTCTAATAAAAAAAAAGTTTATTATCTATCTATCCCCCCCCCAAAAAAAATTCAATAAAGCAAAACAAATTAGTCAAGCTATAAAACTGCAAAAAGAGAAGAGAGAAATTGCTTAACTCTTTAGAAGTTTAAATATCTCAGATATGGACTTTTATATCATAAACGTGAGAAAAAGGAAAATTAATTGTATTTGGCAATTACAAAAAAAGGTCCAACCACATGACTATCATTAGATGCCCTATTCAAAAACACTGTTGCCTATAAACTTTGTTGAAACAGTATCAGTCATATCATTTATTCAGCTCTCTGACAATTTTTGATTCTTATTTTTTTTTCCTCTCAGAATAGCTTTCAAACTATAAAACATAGATTAGTATGAAACATACAACTTCAGTGTGCAAGCCTTTACATAGGATTGTCACATTACCAGCATGCTCTGCTTCCCATTACTACTTGCCTGTCCATAAACTGCAGTACAAAATCTTCAAATTCAGCAGTAGCAGAGCACAGTTCTCTCTCCACCTACAATTTCAAAATATAAGAAGTTTTTTTTCTACTGCATGTAAATCATGCTGCAATTTCCAATTTTTATTTAGTTCTTTACACAATTCTTGCATTATTCCAAACATACAAATCTCAGTTTCTGTAAATATTCAAAATGCTAACGTGAAAATCAAGAGAATATAAATAAAAACAAAACAATTTTATTAGTAAATTTAGACCAAAAGGTTTGTTTTCTTTTAAATTGAAAATCTTAATTTTATAGTTACGAAATACAAACAGCAAAATATATGTTTTAATATTCTTTTACATTCTATATACTTATACTTGAACATTTTCATAAGCAGTTTAATTTAGCAAATAACTTAAAACAGATACCTCTGTAAGATCATTTCTCTCTTGTAGTACTGATGAACAATCCACTAAAGGCACGAGAGTAGAAAATGTTGCAATAAACTGGAATGTGATCTAATAAAGTATGCAAACAAGTTTCAGTGTGTAATTATACATTCTAACATAAAAAGAGCATAAATCACTTCAAATATCTGAAAAATTGTATGATAAAACTCTATAGGGACAGAAAACTGATATTCACACATCTCAGTTACCCAGATTATACTTAGTGCAAAATTAAATTACATTTAGCATTTTCTATTCATATTCCCACATACACTAAAGCAGAGGTTGCCAGCCTTTTTAGGTGAATAGAATTTTGAGAAAAAAATGATACTTTCACTACCTGACAGCTGTTGGAAGAAGAGATTCCCATTCATAAAACAGTTGTCATGACAGACATAGCTTGTTATAAATACACATTTTCCAGAAGCCAAACTGGCAGTGTTTTTTAAGATCTAACAACCACAAATGTAGGGCAAAGGTGATGTCTAAACAATTCTGAACCTATCGTTTTATGTTCTGTTCTTTATTTGTATCTATGGGCAAACTGGGAACTGAATACAAAATAATAGATATTAACCATGAATCCATCTTAACAAAGCTTAAAGCCAATGAATGGCTCACCAGGCAAAAGACACCATAAACATACTAACATTGAAAAGCAAAACACATTCACAGCATGGGGAGGGCTGGAGGGGGTTCCCCTACAATCCCTCCAAGTCACTAGATTCTCACACAGATGCTTGCCATCATCTGCCCTAAATTTCCAGTAAATTCCGTATTCTTGTTTCTTTACTATTTTATTTTATTCTGGCAACTGGGCGTGCATCAAAATGCTGAATTTTTAGCCATGCAACATTTTGATTGTATTAAAATGGGTGTGTGGCCCCATGTCAGGTCCACAGTTAATACTGTAAAATAAAAAAAATCTACTTTACTTTGTAGCAGGTAGGTCATAGTTTAAAAATGATTTTAAAGATCAGGGATAGAGGAGAATCCTAATGGTGCTAAGGGAGATGTAAATTATGCTGAGGAATCAATTGTGATTTAGCAGAAAGCACATAAACTGGAAAATATTGCAGTTAGCTTATGCCTTATTTGTTCCTCCTGTTGTATGCTCTACCCCTGCAAATGAAAGGAGGAAGAAATAAAGGCAGCCAAAAAGATGCTCAAAAAATAAGCAGTAAAGAAAAGGCTAAAATACAAAAGAAAGAAATTCATGGAAAACTGTAGTCATGTCTTAGCTGACATTAAGAGAGATCTAATTGCAACATAACACCCTGTGAAATTATTACACTCACCATGCATTTGCTAAAATCATTTGGATCCACACCAGGCAATGCTCTCATCAACAGAGGCAACATATGTGTTGGACCTTCAGGAAATGACTTGCCCCCAGATACCAGGCTACGAGCTACACCAATTACACAACTTAACGTAGCTGTCAGCTGATGAGGTTCTGTTAATGTCTCTAGTGCGGGATATGTTCTATGGAAAAAAAAAAGATTTATATCAGTTCAAATGTTTACTTACAAGTGCTTATAAGATAAGCCAGACATGGGCTATGTCCAAACCATTTTTCTAACTTTTCCAGTTTTAATATTTCATTACTCCGCTTGCAGAAATTCTAACCGATATTATGTTTCAATGACTCAACTTTAGGAAATATTTTAAAAAACACACAATAAGATGTGGTTTCAAATATATTTGCTACTAAATATACAATGCAACATTAAAAAACAACAAAAATAAAATTAGTTTGTAGGTCTCTTAACTTCTGTTGACTGAAGGGCTATAAAAAGCTTTGCAGGACATGTGGAAAACTCCATTCTAAACAAAGGAACAAAGGAGAAGGAATTTCGGGAGTTTTAAAATATAAAATGGGTGTTTTAATGATTTGCAAAAGAAACCCATTTTTTCATTAAAATGTCAATTTTAAAAAGGACCCAAAATGTTTGACCCTATGCATTTTTGAGGAACTCTAGGGAGCAGAGAAAATATGCTGTCAAAGCCAAATGGTATTTGCTCATTTAAGCCAATAAAATGGAAGGATAGAAGTTTCAAAGTGAGGAAATTTATATATTAACTTTGATCTTGTCAAAATTTCTTAAACTGTGTTTTGGCAGAATGAATGTTTTTAAAAGTAAACACATAAAATAAGTAGTAAAAAATTGCAATATAAACTAAAGCATACATCTCCAAAAGTAAATGCATAGAGACACAGGCAGTAAATCTACATTCTCTTGTCATCGTCAGTGTTAAAATTGTAGCAAAAAAGACAATGATTTAAAACAGACAATTTTGAGGTATGTGGACTTCAACTCCCAGAATTCCACAGCCAATACAGCTGTGGCCAAGAATTTTGGAAGCTGAAATCCATACATTTGAAAAATATTGGTTTAGGTTTGGAAAAATACTGACTTAGAATAACCTTTCCTGGTCATCTAAAAACTAGGTAAAAAGAAGGAGGAGCCAACGTCCCAACGATACGGATGTGCGGTCCAGATGCTCCGAGACCGCAGCCGATACTTTTGCCGCTGGGTGGTCCAATCGGACCTAAACCGTCTCGAAGAGACGGTGAACAGGAAGAATACATCTTGCTGACCTCAGGGACATCGCAAAGTCCCTGATCAATGCGAGAAGTTCTTCAAGCCGGCGAAAAAAAATCTAGCCAAGGTTGACGAAGTCGGGGCAACGGAAGGATACAGAAAGAGAAAGTGTTTCCAGCTGGTGAGGAACTTTTACTGTTTTAAAAAGAGACTGCATATAAAAA